ATTGAAATGCCTCACTGATGTTAACAGGTGTACAGGACAGGTGTTGGTGGCATCTGTCAATGTACTGAATTACTGGTTTTGAATGGCAGAGCTAATTGAATCAAGAAAATGCAATTGAATGAAAGACTCAGTACTCCAGAGATACAAATCGGTGATGGTATAACAGGTTTCAACTAAATAAGCTCAAAATTAGGGGAAGTAAAAATTTTCATCACAGCTGCTGAAGAAAAGTACAAATACTGATAAAGTGGATGGTTTGGTAAAGTGGACCCCTACCAAAACAAATACAAAAAGGTTTAAGAATAAAGAATACAGCCCGTACTTAGATAATAAGAGAATATATTCCGTAAGGTATTGTTGCACTAAATTTTAACTGTTTTGGTTGCCTGCATTTTCTACCATTTGTTGCATCCAAATTACAGACGAGGCTGATCAGATGCAGTGTCACAACGTGGTGGAGAAACTTTTGCAGTTTGTGGGCCTAAGGAATACACCTTATATTCAAAGCCGATAATTTGTTGTTAGTCTAAATGAAGTCTTAATAGTCTAATCAAATTACTTACTCTCAGTAGTACCAACACATCTCTGCTCGCATCCCATACCTCTACTTTTCTATGTTGCATTTTGTTTAGGGTCATACTGCTATCTGATAGTTATAGAAATGTCTGTAACAGTAAATTTTGTCCCACAAACTTGTACAAGGCTAAGCAAAATCTAAAACTAGTGGGGTGGTAGTCATTCTGTTACTAGACAAATCCTGTTGCAGCTAAATAAGCCAAAACAGAGCTCCAGGCAGGCAAGCCAAGTCTTGATAAAGCCTGACAAGTCTGGAAGCATGTGGTGTTAGCTTAATACAAAGCATGTAGCCTGTTACTAGCAAAAATAACTGGGCTACAAGGCCACATGTTCTGAACAAGATTTTAAAGGACATGACAAACAAATATTGACTATGAGGACCTTTTTCAGTGTCCAGAAATACTTGGTTGTACAACAGGAGAGTCCTAATTTCTTCTCTGTTGGGTGCTGTTAAGACAATTACTGGAAGGTTTTATTCAGTCCACTTTTGAAAAGGGGACTGGGCACCTAAGGTGGTTTGTAAATGTTTTTTATTGTTGTGTGGGGTTGGGATGTAGGTAAGTCTGAGGATTTTCTTTTTATTTATCTTTTGGTATTTGTAGTTTCCTTTTTGGGGTTTAGCACCACTTTTTGTTACCTAGTGTAGAGTGACGCTTCAGCAGTAACAAACAAACAAATATTGCAATAACTCTTAGAAACAGTACATGCACAGAAACAGGCTTCAGCAGTAATACAAAGGTTTTGCTTGGATTTATTTGAAGAAAATAAATGATAAGTTAACTAACTCATATTTTCCTTTAGGTTTCTAAAATACTGTAGACATGTACAGAATCGTATTGCATAAAATTAGGGAAATAACAGATTTCAGGGAGGAGAAGTGTCATGAGAATAGTTCTGACAGGCGCTACAGAGGTGAAGAATCCACCATGACAGTTAAAGCCCCAAATTATTATCAGTTTAGCAGCTTTCCAAGTGGTTTATTCAGAGATGAATAACTGAGGATTGTTTCTTATTTGTAATTTTAAAGAAGCCCCAAATCTGAAAGATCTTTCTCAAGGGAACATATTTTATTTGAGACAGAATGGTCAAGGTTGTGGTCCTGTTACCTATATTCCTATTTAACAGAGTTCTTTTAAAATTGACTGCTAGTAATATAGTGCCAGTACCTTTCTGAAAAAAACCACACCATAGGTATATTCCTCTTTAATATGTGTAGGTTTTTTATTGTTGCTTATTAGGTGATGGTGTAATTGATCTCACTGTAAAGAATATGGAGAAAGGACACAAACAGGTTTTCATTGCCTTTCAGTTTCTAGCCTTATATGTGTGATTTACTTTTTATTTTATTAGTATTTTTGTTAATTTTTTTACATGCTACACACTTTGCTAGTATAAAATAAAAAGATGGGCTTACAGTGAGAAAAAAAGTAGCAAGCAAACATTACTTCAACAAACCTTGATAATTTTTGAGCCCTAAAAGCTTTTTTTAAAAAAAGAAACTTCTAAACATCAAATTTAATACTATTTTTTAGTATTTTGGAATTTGGCTACTTAACGTACTGTTTTCTAAATTTTTCTAAACGCTTTTGACATTTTACGAACTTTTTTATTTTTTCCAGTCCAGACTTAGGCCAATCATAGCATTCTTGCCTGCTCCTTGAGCCTTTCAAACAACTTTCATGGATTTGTGAAACAGGATTTTGTTTTGTAAAGTCATGTTGCATTTACTCATATTGTTCATTTATTCATGTTGCATTTTTTTATGTTATTCATTAATTTTTGTTCTCTATTATACTTTCAATATATTTGCACTGTAGAAAAGTCAAGCTGGCCAGTCTGTAGTTGTCCAGATCTTCCCAAAAATGTCCTTGTCAATATCAATATAATTTCTGCCATCTTCTTTTTCTTGGATGTCAACGTGCTTTTCAGTACGAACTGAAATGCAATAACAAGTACTAAGGTTATTTTGTTCTCAATTTTCTTCAAAACTTTTGTGTGAATGCTCTTTTGTGACTTCTCATTGTTGGCTTTGTTTTGTAAGTTCTTCTGCCAACCCTTGAATTTGCTTGTGGCTCTGTTATACTTTGGGAACTCCTTTCACACACCAGTAGAACATCTGATGAAGGGTTGTTGTGGCCTTTGTTTTCTTTGGGAGACCTTTTCACCGTGATCTTTTACTGGCCCTACAGATACTCTGTTTGTCTTCCTTCTTTTGTTACCTTCAAGGAAAAAGATGCGTTAATCATAGATGCTTTTTGCAAGTTGTCCTTCAAACTTTTTTTTTCTCCTTTTTTTTTTTTTTTTGGTCTGCTTTAATACAGCTTCATGTTCATTCAGCTAAAGTTTTGATTTCCCCACCCCCGGACTTGTGTTGTTTTATTTTGTTTAGATGTTGTAACTTGAATAATTATTGTCTAAGACTGGAGTAAGTTACAGAAGTCTATCTTAACATTTTCATGCCGTTGATTTAAATAATTGAATTTAGTGTGCTTTGTCCTATTGATGTCAGTAAAGTAAAAGCAATAATTTTCTTTTTTATTATTATTCAAATCTAGGTATTTGCATGTACAGAGTTTCATAGAAGTTCTGAGAGAATAGAACATAATTTTAGCTCTTCATTCAAGTAAGAGGAAGGAGCAAACCTTGTTTCCTCCTCCGATTACTGTTATAAAGTTATTGTTGATGCAAGGTATGTTGTATGATGGAGTAATGTAAGAATAGATGCTGTCAGGACACCTTTTCTCCAGGAGAGGTGTCGGATGGCTTAGTACAGTGGTTCCAATCGTACCGTGCCATAGCATTCTCCCTTGTCCTCTCAGGCATCTCTGGAAGTTGGAGAGATGGTCCCAACTCCTGGCGCAAAGTTGTGGGGCCCTTGGGGTTCTCCCTCCAAGTGACTCCAAATACCATCATTTATGGGATTGGGTGGAGGATGCCTGATGCTTAATTAGGTCATTCTAGCACTTGGTCCCTAACAACCTGCTGGAGCTCACAGTCTGCTTGGCTGGATTTTTCTCAACAGGTTCATAGCTCTCACATTGATTAACAGGTTGTTTACACTTGTTACATCTCTGTTCTTATAACTAAGCTATTCCCTTCTCCTATAGTGTTAACTAAACTTTATCTACATATGGTAACATTGCTGTCAAGTAGGCCTACGTTATGCTGACTGCCATGCACCCCCATAACAGGTCAGCTAAAATAATATATAAAGCTACTTTGATACTTACATTCCTTGCAGTAGGATAAATGCAGGATCATGGTTGTAGTCTGTGTTACCATTTAATCTTAGCATGTTCCTCTTGGAAACCTAACGAGTGCTGTTGTTTCTTACAATCTATATCAAAGTAGCTTGGCCATCCAGTTCTTCTGGTGACCATATGCAAATTCAGTACTTGGAATTATACGTACTTTGAAGATGACTGATACAGTATGTTCCCGGTATCACCTTTTGCCTGACCACGGCATAATACATCACCTTTTTCTAGATGATAAAAGGCTTCGCAACAGAGAAAGTATTTGAACCAGATTGCTTTAATTGTTTACATAGTATATTAGACCAGAAGACATATCCTAATTGACTTGTGCATTTAAAATCCCCTTAAAATGCTGGAAATACATGAATAACACATTTCCTGTGCATTGAAGCAAGATGTGCAAACAATAAAGAGGATAAAAAAAGAAAACAATGGCTGTTGCCATCCTTATTTATGATTAATAATAAGTTACCATTGTTCTAAAGGCTTTTGGAATTCCTGCGGCTCCTGTCTTTGGGTTTTCAAGATGAATCTCTTGATTCTTCAGAAGAGAGACTACTCAGTAGTTAACCACAGACTGATACAGGCATCATAGTTGACCTGATACTTGCTTTTGAGCTGAAGTACTGGTTGCCATGAAGTATTCTATGACACTCAGTATGTTTAAAGAGGGAAGATTTTTAAAAAGAAGGGAAAAAAGCCCATTCTGTTCGTCAGCCTCAGTTTAGTTTAATCAGCATTTTGTCTTCTAATAGGTTTTCCACTGTCCACACAGACTTTAGCCGTTATCATTTCTGTCACTAACTTTTTATATATATGTATAGATAAATGTATATTTACATTGATTTTTATATGTTGAGAATTATACTTATCAAGGTATTTACTGTCTGCTAAAGTTCATTTATTAAAGGAACTTGCTATTTGTATAAAATGACAAAATTCAATGGAGTGAGAAAATATTTCATTTTTATGGAAATTTGTGAACTAGAGTTTGGTATTTATAGCTCATGTGGCTGATAAGAAATTTAAGTATCTTAATTAAAAGATTACAGTAGATTGATAATTAGACATGATGTAATGTCTAATTAGCAGTTCGTTGTGTCTTTTTGACTGTGATGCATATTGACATATAAGAAATAAAATAGTTTTATGCTTCCTCTGTTGTAGGTAGCTTGCATGCAGCTCATCAATGCTCTTGTTACATCTCCTGATGACTTGGATTTTAGGCTTCACATCAGAAATGAATTTATGCGCAGTGGATTGAAAGAGATATTGCCAGTAAGCATCTTGTAGTCTCTCTTGGCATTACTGTTGAAATTATTGGACTATTTGAGCTTGGGAGGGGGAATGGGAGAACAAGTTCTAATAAATTATTCTCAAAGGTATTTTATTAAGTCTGGGCATGAGCAGTTAGATATGAGAATCAGTCTTAAAATAAGAATGAAAAGGTGAAGTGTGCTCTCTGAACTTCATGCCAATTCCTCAGAATTTTAGGACTTTGATTTAGAACTTGTGACAGACTTGTGCAGACACTTGTCAAGCCAGGCTTAAGCCATGTTTACCTTTTGAATATTTAACAAGAATTAAGTTCTTGTAACTTTAAACTTTAAAATAACAGACTTATGGAAGTTATTAAAAAGAAAAGGTTTATTTACATATGGAACAGCTGATTTTGCAAGCTTTTCTACTGTTTCTTCTTTGCAGCAATTGAAATGTATAAAGAATGAAGCACTAGATATTCAGCTGAAAGTGTTCAATGAGCATAAGGAAGAAGACATGATCGAATTCTCTCATCGTTTAGAAGATATTAGATCTGAACTAGAATATCCTTTTGATATCAGCAAGAGAAACATGAACAAAATAAAGTGTATAATGGACGTTTTTCTGGTATAATTTCTATTTTAAAAAGTTGTCAATCAGCATTTGACTGAAATATTTTTTTCCTTGCTTTTACTCTCCTTAACACTTTTACTGAAGTAAATGATGTTTACAACATGGTGTGGAATACAGTTAAGGACACTAGCGCTGAAGGATATTTTCTTTCTATTCTCCAACATCTTTTGCTGATAAGAAATGATTATTTTATACGGTATGTTTAATGAAACGTTAAATGTTAGTTATAGATTTTGTCGTCATTTAGTCATTAATAGAATATTTCTTCCATAAATTTAATGATAAATACAGTTTAGTCTTTTCCTGTGCGGATTGCAGTTCTTAAGTATTCCTTTGTGCACTTGTGTTCAGAAGTATCAGTTTTGAATAAGAATGCCATCTATATGCTTCTGTCTCTTCTGCTTAGGATACAATTCTATATATAAATATAGAAAACTATTTTTGTTGAGATCTGAACCTTATTGACTGCAAGTATAAGTGATCAGGACAGATCTCTTATTTGGTTATAAATGATGGTAGTAGCATTGTAATTTTGTGGTGTATTTGAGGCAAAGGACAAAACCAAGTATGCACAGAAGTGCACTTTATACAGAAATCTGAACATATGCTTAATTTAGAGTAACTTTTGGTTGGGAATTGAGTATTCTCAATATACATTATAGGTCAATGTGGACATGTTAGTGTCTCTTAGAAAATTTGTCAGATAAATTACAGGGAAATACTTAATAAAATCTTAGATGTTTGAAGCTGCCAAATACTTTCCTTTCTAAAATCTGCTTGTGTTGTTTTTGAGGAAACACTGGAGGAACCAGATATGAACTGACCAGGGAAGGAAAGCTGTCTGTTTTCTGCATAACCTTGCATTTCAGGCAAGGTCTAGCACAGATGAACCCCTAAAGGTTAAGAGTGCTTGCCTGACATGGGTACACCTGTGCTAGACCTCTTCCACCTGAACAGGTTTGAATTCACAGCTTGCATGTTCTGGGCAAGTGACCAGCTGTCATACCCTCTGGCATTTTAGAACAAGGTGCTTTTCATTTGTCTTACTGAAGCAGGGCTGCAATGCATCCATAGTTACAAAAGTCACAAAACCAGAAGGGATCAAGCTGAAGGAAGGGAGGAAGCAGGAGGGAGTCCTTCCTTTCTGTATTTCCGTAGGGGGAGAGGTGCAGAGTTTATAATATAAGAATCATTTGTCTTTAGGTCCACTGTTTTTTCAGGCTTTGTGTAAACTGTTCTTGTGTAATAAACTGCCAGATGCATTTGTCCTTTGAGATTTTTAGGGTTTGCACCTACCCTTCTATGGAAATAAGTCAGCCCAAATCTTTTGACCTTACTGTGTTCATAGACAAGATTTGAAGTATACATTAATAAATAAATACGCTGTAAAAGAACTCATCTCTGTCTTTAGTCCACAGTATTTCAAATTAATTGAAGAGTGTGTGTCCCAGATAGTGTTACATCGAAGTGGAACAGACCCAGATTTCACATATCGTAAAAGATTAGATATAGATTTCAGCCATTTAGTAGGTAAGTACTATGTTTGGAAATGATTACAGTATCATACTACTTTATATGTTCCAAAAAACAAGTTAAAGTTGTACATGTGATTAAGAATCTTGTGTTCCCTGTATATGTGCAAATGTGTTTGTTTATTTTTTTAAGATATTTGTGTAGATAAAGCGAGATTAGAAGAATGTGAAGAGAGGGCTTCTGAACTTTCCAGAAAAGTAAGTAATTTTTAAGTTATGTGATCATAAGATGGACACAGGGGGTTACTTAATAGCTTCATGAATGGTGTAAATGAATGTAGCAAAGTTTTTAACTTCAAATTACTATTAGTTCTATGTTTAAGTGGGAATTTGGATGTTTCTTGTGGACTAGGAAGCACAGAAATGTGGTATAAAGTAGTTAACCTTAACTGAGAGTCTTTCTACTATTTATTTTAAGGTTTCATGTACAATCTCCCAAAAATCAGCTGAATACTTTATTTGAACAGTTATCAGTTTCTTCAACAAGATAAACAGTGGGAGAATAAGAATTGACTCATTTGTATCTACAGACTCTATATTACTGTACATAATTTTTTTTAAGCTACTCTGTCTAATTCCAACTTAAAATACATTAAGTACTTTATGCCATTTCGTATAGTAAAGACTTGTAATGGTAATAGAGATGGTACTTCCACTCAGTGGATACATGGAAGTTAGAATAGCAGATATGTTGTATGTGTCCTTAGTATTGTTAACACATGAGTTTTAACAAACACAAAAGGAAAAGTTGGAATCTAAAGAAACTATGCAGAACTGACAAGTATCCACAATTTTGTTTTTTTTTCTTTTTTCTTAGTTTGAAAAAGATTTTGTAGTTCATCAGGAGACCCAGGCCCTACTGCAAAAAAAAGAAGAAAGAATCAATGAACTTGAAGCAGAATTACAAGCTTTTAAATCACAGGTATAACACAAATGAATGTATGAAGTATTGTTTTTAAAAGGGACTTCCTTCTGCATCTTTTGCAGATGCTGATAGTACAGTTGAAGGTGTTTTCAAGGAATCCTTGTTATCAATTATTATTGCCTGTTAGTTTCTTTCATTTATGTTTTATACAAAGAATTGTAGTGTGACATTAATTAGCTGTTTGAGTTCCCAGATGATCCTTTTGGTGCCTGAGATCTGTTAATTAAACTAGTTTCTTATGTTTCATTTGGGTTTTGCTTTCAGTGTCATAGATTTCCAAAGTAATTAACCACATAGGGTAATAAGTCTTATGCTTTTAGTTTAGCATTCATCACTGTGATCTTTATCCCTCCACAGGAAATTATTCATTAAGCAGTTTGCTTTGCTGAAGCCTTGCCATGGATATCCAGCAGTGAAAGAAAGAACCTGTGGCTGGATAAGAACATTTCCTGATAATTTTTCAATTTTGAAGCATAAATAGATATTTTATGATGTGATGGAAAGGAATAGTGCAGATTTTTAACTGATTAAAACAGTTTTTTAACAGATTAAACCAGATTTTTAACAGATTAACTTGTAACTGCTTCAGCTCTGAAATCTGTTTAAGGAGTCTGTGTGACCAAGTGATTTTTCCTGTGTCTTATTTCTTGGAATAAGAAGCACAGATTTCTTTATACTTTTGAGCTTGTTTATCATAGAATCATAGAATCATAGAATCATTAAGGTTGGAAAAGACCTCTAAGATCATCAAGTCCAACCGTTAACCCAACACCACCATGCCCACTAAACCATGTCCCTAAGCGCCTCATCTACAATTTTCTTAGTGAGGAAGATTTGCTTTGGTCTGTTTAAAAATGTCATTCTAGTTCAGGTTTCTGGTCAGAATTAACTGTTAATGTCAAACTCAAACAGGCTTTAAAAAAAACAATTACAGAAATTGTTGCATTCTAAAAAAATAATTTTAGCGAGAGCTATATGTCATTCATTAAGAAAGTATTTTTATGTGTGTGTCTGGAAAACATACTTAAAAACTTTTTGTGAGTGAAATAGATTTTCTCTCCTATTTTACTTTTTCTCTTGTTCACTGTATTAAATATAACTTTTTTCTATGTGCAGACAGTGAGCATAAGATATGATTAAGCTCCCTAATTATCATATCACGAATTATCCCACTGTTAATGGGATACTTGGAATGTTTTGCAAATATCAAGTAAATGATTACTGCAACTTAGTACTCTTAAATCCGTCTTAAGAGGAATCTTTGGTTTCCGTATGGCATCAGTTGCTACTTAGCATGGCTACTCCACCTCTTATGACTATTTTTCTCCTTCTCTCATTCTTTACTCTTTTGTTTTATTTGGTATTTGTTTATGTATTTCTTTCATTATTACAGCCTAATTATTTAGTGTCTACTTGTCAGTGTAAACAATGCATATGTTCAGAAATTCAAAACCATAATACTGCTGTTCATGTATTTATTTGTATTTATTGATATTCAGCTATTTCCTTTTTAAAATATTAAATCCTTTGCTTGTTGTATTTCCCTCCAGTTTTTAAAAATAAAATGGATTGTTTCAGCTGATAATTATCAGTTGAAAAGTTGATTAATACTATCACTAGTAGGTAAATATTTCTTATTTATTCTTTTGTTATTTTTGTCAGGTATCTATTTATTAATGTTTGAAGGCCTATGATAGAAATTTTTTTTTTTTTTTAGACTTACTGAAGTGCTAATAAGCTTATCATGATACAGTATAGATGTCCTTACTATATAGAATAAGAAGTCGATGTGTAAGGCAGCTGTATTTTTTTGAAGGATTTTTTTTTTCATCATTACTTTGTGCTTTCAATTCTGTAGAATGAGAATGCTCCTATATTGGAAAATATCTGTTTTTCAGCAGAATTACTAATCTCTTCAGATTCTGCTATTATGTACTTGGCATGTTTCTTTGTAATCTGTAGGCTAAGTAAGAACACTAGAGACTAGGATGTTATTTTTTTAATTTGAGCTAAACTGTGGTAGTCTAGATAAAATTTCATCAAGACACCTACCAGGCCCTTCTTAGATCATGATCAGTGAAATATGACTAGTGTGATGTAGCATTTCAGTTTGTTGTTTTTGGCGAGCACCCCCTGGTCTGAATGTCCGCTTCGAATGTTGAGACTTCCAATTATGAAATCAAAAGCATGTTGGCCTCATTATAATTCACATTTCATTGTCCTATACAAGAAGAATGGCACTGACTCAATTGGCTTGCTGGATTTAATCTATAAACTATGATTGTTATGGCATTTTGTTGATAAAAAATGTGAAACTGAATAAGAATATTTTCGTTATCAGTATGGCTCCTTGCCACCTGGTTTTCTACCATCAACACGTGGAGATGCATCTGTTGTTCCACTGGAAGCTGCAGGACCACATCAACTGCCGCCACCTCCTCCTCCACCGCTGCCTTCTAACGGAGCAATTCCACCACCACCGCCTCCCCCTCCTCCTCTACCTCTTTCGACTGGCTTGGGAATTCCTCTGGTTTTTGGTGGGGCTCCTCCACCACCCCCTCTCCCAGGCCTGCCTGGGGCACAGTGGTCTCCATCTTCATGTACTTTGCCATTTGGAATGAAGCCTAAAAAAGAATTCAGACCTGAGGTTACCATGAAGAGACTCAACTGGTCCAAGGTAGTACTGATTAAAGGCAAACACTTGATGTAAAATCTTACACAGAGCTTAGGGTAAATAGATTGTCAGGAATAAGACTATGTAGAGCAATTGATACATTAGTTAAAATTATGTAAGATGTGAATACTTTCTGCCTTTAGTTTTCATTGTTTTCCGAAAACTGTTTCACTGGCTCAGGAATCATCTGGGCAAGTATCTGTTGACTTTCTGAGATGCCTGGAAAAGTCATTTCTTGTCTAGAATAATACAACCTTGACACCAGCATGCTTCCTGGGTTCTACTGTGCCTTGTCTTTTAGCAAACTTTTTACATCGGATCAGTCACTGCACTGTACTGGTAGCCATACAGTTTCCAAACAAGTGTCTTGCATCTATTTAGCCTGGACTGTGGGAAGAAGCATTGCAGGTCTACCCATTTGTCCTTAGTGTAAATGTACTTATGTAAATTTAATGGTTGAAAAAAATACAGAGTCCGTTTGTTTTTCTTCTCCACTGTGATAGGATCAAGTATACCAGGACTATCAATCTACTGAGTTTTTGAAACTAGATCAAAAAAAGTCAGTAAAAAGATTTTCAGAGTTTTATGAAGCAATCAAAGCTACAGTCTAAAAAGTAAGGTACTTAATATCTAGTTAAACCAGCTGTGTTCAGAGACTATTTAAAGTTTACCCAAGTTTTAAATCTAGAGCAAATATAATTTGCTACATTTAGAACTTGGATAACAGAGTATGATGTCTGTATTGCTTTGTATTGTTAGAATCTGTTTGTCCAAAAGCACTTACTCTAAGCATTATTATTTTCAATCAGAAATATATTAACAATTCTAAACATGAGTTACATATCAAAAGTTAACGTGTTTTACAGAGCTCTTAAGTATTTCATTTGCTTTAGACTCTACAGAGCACAGTCTTGGCATAGTATCAAAATAATTTAATTCATAAAATTTTGTTTTGTCTCTGTCTTGTAGATCAGGCCTCAGGAAATGACAGAATCCTGTTTTTGGGTTAAGGTGGAAGAGGACAAGTACGAGAATGCTGACATGCTTTGCAAATTGGAACTTACGTTTTGTTGTCAAAAAAGGGGTAAGTAATTGATTGCTTTAATTTTCAGCTTTTAGAGATATCTTTAAAATTCTTGGGGCTTAAATACTATATGAAAAAAATCAGATTATAACATTAATGTTCTGGTTTTTAAGTGGAATGTGTGAAGAAAAAAGTTTGAAAATCCCAGACTGCTTAAAGCAGTAATATTGAACTATTTTACTTAAAGGGTGACAAAAATTGTGTGACCTATAAGGAAAACCTTACTAAAAAACCCTCAAAAATGCTTCCTAATTATACAGACTTTTGTTCAGTCATGTTTGAAAAAGTATTTATAAAATTTTGTAAGAATACCTTAATAAAATACTGTGACCTAATCTAGAGTCCAGAAGATGATGCCTTTACCCTCAGAATGCATATATAATTGATGTGTTTTGGTTCCATGAAGGAGGAGAGTCTTTTAATGAAATTTTTGACTTTCTGATAAACCTGTAGCAACATTGGTCTCCTTTGATATTTTGCTTAGTTTCTTCAGCTTTTAAAGCCTTGTGGAGGAGCAAAATATTTGAAAGTATTCCTGGCTTTAAACCTTTTCTCCCTTTCTGGAGAGTAAGTTGTCTCACTAGTAGTTTAGGTTATTCTGCCCCATATAAAATGCCTGTATTTCCACTGTTATTTCTTGACGCATTTTTTTTTTTTTTTCCTCCTCCTTGATTGGCATCAGAGACTTAATACTTTGGGGCAGTCAAAGGGGTGCAATGATTAGTTCCTTTTCAAGGAAAAGACATTATTATATTTTTAGTTTGTTTTACAAATTTCACTTTGATATTTTTATTTAATATAGTGCATGGCATTCTTGAGTTTCTTCTTTTTTTTTTGGTATGCTTTGGTGTGTATTATCCAATTCTTTTTTTTACCATAACCAAGAACTTTATTCTGCTTTTGTCAAAGCAGGCTTTTTATGCTCTAGCAGTATTTCTACTGAGTTGAGTATTAGAGTTTATTACTGTTGATACTTAATAACATTAATAATGTTGTACAAAGATAAAAAGGCAAGAAAATCTCACAAACCATTGACATTTTCTCTTTAATCTATTAGAATATGTCTAAAAGATCATTGTGGTGCCTTTATAATGTTAGAATTCCCAAGAATGTTCCCTGAATTAACAGGTTGGAAGGTTTAAAAGCCACTGGAGGAAATACTGTTTCCTATGTGTAATTAAACAGTAGACTTTGGGAGACAAGATGATGTTCAGGCCAAACATGTTAATGGCTCAGAAGACAATTGTGAATCTCCAGAGGCACCGAGAACGTTAGAGTTAACAAGATTAACATCCCTTCAAAGTTTAACTGAATGGACTGAATATATTGTTTTGACAAAACCTAATAGAAGAGAGTTATTGCATCTACAGTTGAAAAATCAGTGAAGTATACTCTTATACCAAATGTAGGGGAGGGGGAGGCAATTAAAAGGCTATAGCTTGCAGGGACGAATTTAATATTTTTTTTACAGGTGGAGCTTACTGCTTTTTTTTTTTTTTTAAAGTTTTGAAATCTCTCTCATCCCACATGGGTGATATAAGTGTGCCATCATCTTAATTTTTCAAAGGAAGTGGAGATACTAAAGATTTTATTTAGAACAGCAAGTAGGTGTCTAAAGGGCAACATGGAAATAAATTTCATCTTTGTTCAAGTGAGTAGTTTACAGAAATTTGCATGAATGCTTAAACACATAAGTAGACAGCACCAGGCATCCCAGTGTCTCTTACTAAGGGCATGAATTCTAGTCCAAAGGACAGCAAAGTAACTGTTTTTGTTCTCATGACCATGGAGAGAGGGGATGCTTCTTTGTAGCTTATACATAACTTACTGATTATAACAAAACTTGCCAAAGAAGTTGGAGACATCCAGATTTCTTCACTTCTCAGTCTTGAAGAGATTTAACACCATGCTTTCTAAAGTAGAATCAGGAAGCTATTCACTAGACTCAATTTGGGAACAGTCCTTAACTATTCCTAAAGCTTTGTGTCTAAAACTAGAAAGACGAGAAGTTGAAAATGATTCTATAGCCAAATGATGGCATGCAAAGAATGAGCTGGTTTCCACTCTGTTGAAGGGTCTGCTTATGCACTCTTTTCATTGAAGTCATTGTGTAAGAAGAGGTATCTAGTTGTGGAAGCAGGGACCAGAATGTTCAATGATACTTTAAGTGAATTTTATTCTGATTAATTAAAATCAGATTGAAGTACTTAAATGTTCAGTTGCTGCCTTTTGCCAGTTGATGTGCCAAAAGTATTTCAGTGTTGATCCAGAAGAGGAAGTCTTATCTGTATGTAATTAATTCACTGAGGAATTTCTACTAGAAAAAGGAATACAGAACAGTATAGAATAGATTTGAAGCTTTAGCAGATGTTTGTATAGAAGTTATAAATGATGTTGATTCTGAATGGGTATTGAAGCAATTGAAATAACTGAAGATGTTATGGAGGTATGGAAGAAACATTACTGCAAGAATGAAAAAGTAAAAGAGAGTCTAGCTTGAGAGCGTAGGAAAAATAGTGAGTAGTAACATGGAGCAAAGACTATACATGGAGAAAATAATTACTCTTGTTGAGGATGTCCGGAGACATGTCAGAGACATGTTCTTGAATCATGGAATTATTTAGTTTGGAAGGGACCTGTGGAGGTCATCTGGTCCAATCACCTTCGTAAAAGGAGAGTCAGCCTAGTTCATGTTGCCTGGAGCTTTGTCCAGCTGAGTTTGAGATATCCCTAAAGATGGAGATCTATGGATGGACAGCCTGTTCCCGTGTTAGTCACCATTATGGTAAAATTTTTTTCATAACATCTTCTTGGAATATCTCTTGTTGCAACTTGTGTCTGTTGGCTCTTGCTTGTTGTGCACCTTCAAGAAGAATCTGGTTCCCTCTTATTTGTAGCCTTCTGTTAGGTAGTTTGAGACAGCAGTAAGAGTTCCCTTGCCCTTTATCCTTTTCAAGACTGACAGCTCTCTCAGCCTTTCTGTCTGCATCTTATGTTTCAGCCCTCTAATAATCTTGATGATTTTCTATTGTACTCGTTCCTATATATCTATATTTTTCTGGAAGTGGGGAGCCCCAGATTGAAAAAGTACTCCAGATAATTCTCCCGGAGAGAGAAGGGGAGAAAAGGGAAATAATCACTTCTTTGACCTGCTGACAACAGTCTTGGTAACTTACTGGAGGAAACGTTTTCACTGTGCTGCTTGTTTAAAAATAATAATGATGGTGATGATGATAATGATGAGTCCATGTAAAGGGCTATGGGTGGTATAGGATATTTTCTCTTCATTTTTTTTTCTTGTTATAGAGCTGTTTTTGTCACTTTCCAGAAATTGAACCATTTTGTGAAAGCAATGTGTTTTATAAAAATTAAAACTTTGAGCTGGAACAATGAGAAGTATCAAAGCATCAATTGCAGATGGTATTCTTGTAGCAACTTACTGAAGACAAAGTGTAATTTATTTATTGGCTCAGAATTTATTCTTGTCTCAGAATAAATTTGTAATCTTAAAGAAATCTAAGTTTATATATATGAAAGAAGTACGCAAGGACGTAATGGAAAACCAGCTCCTTTGTCATAAAACCATATAGATTTACTGCTACACAGGGAATACAGGAGGAGAATATTAGTTCAGAGTCTGGAAATACAGCTCAGAATGTGGATGGAGTATTTTCAATGTGAATACTTGAGAAAGATCTGATTATGACTGAAAAGTGTACATACATTTAAATATTTGTGAAAAAACATGAGAGTTTATTGTGAGATGCCCCAAGAAACAAACAAAAGATTCTGGAACCCTCAAATCATTAGCTTTGTGTCAGCATCTAAAAGAATAAAAGTAAGGATGAAATCACTGCCTTAAAGACATCAGTGTGGAAGTAAGGTATGCTCCATGGCTCTCTCCCTGGCTGGGGGGGGGAAGAGAAAAAAAAGAAGTGATCAAGGAGTTCTGAAAATAACATGATGAATGTGAATGGCTTCCATGAATGATCTTTGGTTTTCTGATACCTTTTCTTTTTAAAGGCAAAAAGAAGGATTGGTATGAAGGGTAGTTAGAGACTTGAAAGAGACAGAAATAATAAGAAATATCAAATGTTTAAAATTTATCAGGATTATACTCATGGTTGCAGATCAGTGAAGAAAATCTGTGAAAAGCCTTTTTGGCAACAATGGTATCAAAGGAATCTCTTACTATAATTCTTTGAAAACATTAAACTGAATATATGACTAAAAGTTAATTGGTATGTGAAATACTGAGCAGCAGAGCTGGAGCAAGCCTTATATGTGCTTTTATATTTTCTTAAGCCTAAAAGATAACATGAACAACAAAAATGCTCGTTATCGAACCACAACCACTTTATAATAGATGTGTTGGAACCCTGATGGAAGGAGAATAATCACTGGTGTATGATTTGCCGGAATGATTAGACATACAGGCAGGGGAGTGGCAGTTTGCGTAAAAGGTAGCATGAAGTGCAGCAGCATGAAAATCTTGGGGGGGGAAGGGAAGCCTTCTGTGCGAACCTTTGTGAATGGAATTTCCTTCTAATAATATAATATTATACTGTATTAATAGCTCTCGGATCAGATGATTTTTGTGATGAGAAAATGTTAAATGAGACTAGAGAAGCTGCAAATTTTGTGTCAAAGAAGTGGGAGATTTAACTACCTACATATGGGTTGAATCGATTCCTCATCAGGATGTTTCAAGAAGATCAAAGCTTTGGATGCAACAAATTACTGTTTCCAATATTCCTGTAACGAACGTGAAAGGGACCTGTTCTGGGAATGAGCTTGAGTCATGCACAGGACCTAGGAGGTCGGAGTAGGAGAGAAGGAGGGAATGATCACTATCTTAATGTTGTACCAGGAAAGAACAATCCAAGTATATCTATTATACAGGTATTCAACTTCAGGACAGGGAACTGAACAAAAGAGGCAGATGGTCCAGAAAGCAAGATACGCATGCTAATAGCAACCCAGAGGCTATTCTGAAAATG